CTTGACTACAAAATTGATTACCAAAGTGTGAATCATTATATTTGTGTACAAAGTCAATAAGGGCTTTTTTACACTGCATAGAAGTATTTCAGTCGTTTTCAGTCACGATTTAATCATCTATCAACAACATCAGCTGACCTTTAGTCCCAAAGTAGTTAAAACTGACTTTGTTACGTCGATTTCACAGATTTCAGGACCAGACAGACATGCTACTTGTAGCATACACTTCACCCTTAGATCCGGTTTCCATTAAAGCGGAGAGATGTGTTCGAATAACCAATCAGATCGAACTCTTCCTATGTTCTTCTGATTAATTTCGTTGCGGGTCCAATGACAGTTTAACTTTCCCCCGGGACAAACTTGGCCTTCACTGGTCGGGTTTTTATTGGCGGTCAAGCTGTAGTTCCTGGCTACACACAGGAGTTGCAGTGGTGGGAACGAGAGGTGGGAATTTCGTTATTTCCACATCACCTCTCCGCTTGGGCGGTATCCGAGCTTTAGACCTTTTTTCGGGAGCTAATTGCAGCAACTATAGTATTTGAAGTCTCGCTGACGTTTGAAGTCCCGTGTCGCTCCCATACCTGAGGCACTTACTGAATGAAGTGCCAGACCTGTAAGCACCCATAGAAACGATTGACCCACTGACCGACTGATTGTGTCACTACGAGCAAAAAGACGCCAAAACGATCCAATTACTAGTTCAAACCGCCAAACAATTGACACGCTTTTAATGAGCTGTCACAATGCGATTTCCCCATAGATTTTGTAATAGGAAGGGTGACATCACTGCGCCGATTCATCATTTTTCATTCTTTAATGACGTGAATTTTGCTTTTTAATTCAAATTCATCGAATTAAGTTTTATTTATTTCCACTAATAATCCAATTTAAAGTTAATTGAAAACTAATTTGCTTGTCTAGGACTGAAACACCGTGTACCGAGAACCTAGAACTTAGTTATTTATTCTATTGGTATTATTTATTAAAGATTATAACTATAATAATAATAATAATAATAAATACACTTTATTGCACACCAAACAAATAACATAACAGAAATCTATCTAAAATAATTAAACTTAGCAACTAGGATTTATAATACCACGTTGTTAATGTTCCACAAAAAATATTTCTGATTTCTGCTGATGCAGTTGGTAAGAACTAGTTTTATAGTTATGCTTACGTGAACATCATCATTATCATCATTTGAGCTATAGGACGTCCACTGCTGAACATAGTCCCCCAATGATTTTCATAATGACCGGTTGATAGCGGTCTGCATCCAGCGCCTTCCTGTTACCTTTATGAGGTCGTCTTTACGTGAACGAATCAGACAAATTTCGAATATGCGACACATCGAATAATCGAATGCAACGATTCGCAAAATCGCTAATCGCCTCCAAATATAGCAAGTTTGCATCGCACCGAACCTTTCGTAATTTGGGACTGTGACACGTGACTGGTCGTCACCCTTTACACAATTATGACGTCACCGACAATCGAGTGAAGCTCAGGAATTTGCTTTTGGTGCTCTGTAGAGTGCCGAGCTTGATGAATTTTAGGTTTTTAGGGCTATCATGGTCATTCGAAATACTTTTTTACATTTCAGTCTTTTAGGATAAGCAGTACAGTAATTAATTTTAATGAGCAACATATCGATGCCTCCTAAGTAAACTATCGTATGTCTTAAAACCAAACTTTACAGTAGAGCCATTTAAAGATATTTTTGTGTGCAGTTTTCCCATCTTTTGAGCTAGGGGTACGATTTTTTCAAAACATATAGTCGATACAAGGTGTATTCTCATACAATAACATTTATTTGTAAATATATTGTAGTTTTGGAGATATTGTTGTTACGGTGTTTTACGGCGGATAAAATTAGTCATAGAAATCGTAACATAACTATACAATTATTTACTTTGTCTAGCTGTAGGTAAAATATATAGTAAGAGCCACATACTCCATTGTACGGGAACATAATCATTTATACTGTCGAAGGTATGTTACATATTTATTAATTTTTAATTGTAAATTCATGCTAAAACTAAATTATTCAATTAGGTACTCATCTATTTTGGACAAAAGGATTCACAAAATCAATTTGAAACCTCTGTTTTAAATACCTTATTTATTAATTTGTACCAAAGAATCACGTTATAACAGTCTTTCTTTCTTATGAAAATATAATTAAAATAATTTTAAATTAACATAGAATGTGAAGTTATTACAAATAATTAAATCAAAAGTAATTAACTGACGAGATCAAATAAAAAAAATTGTTTTCTAATAAACATTGATTATTTTTGAAACATAGTAATTACGACTAAATTAAAAAGTTTTATTTATAAAGTGATAAAAGGAATATTTATCTTCTTTATTAACCTTAAAATAAGCAAAATCTATTCTTACTTGATAAAATCAATTAACAAAGTTACATCGTGTTATTACTTTAATAAAAGTTATTGTTCTTACTTTAAAAAAATAGTATTTAATCTTATTAAAGCCTCTAATATTATTCAAAAATTGCACATAAGGAATCTATATAATAGGTAACATGAATAATAATTAATGATAATTCAGTAATTTTTTTATAAGTAATCAATAATAGGTAAAAAACTTTATAACTAAAAAAAGTTAATCTGAATCCGTCTCAGCATTATGATTAGAAGAATCTACAAGAAGATTGTGATAGAATTGGTAATGCACCGCTGGAATGACACCTCTAGTACAAAGGCTTACCAAGTATTTTTTTTAACTTTGGTTATAGGTAGCATATGGTTAAAAAGGGGGCAAACATCAGAGTAATCTTGCTGTCGTCGTCTCGTGTTAGTTTTAGTAACAACGGTCATATATTGAGACTCATCCAAATGATATTTATAATGGAGTTTATTTGGCTCAGAAGGAAGCACCTTGACTTCTTTTATTTTCATCCATTGCACAACATCACCTTTCAAGTTCTTGGTCCAATTTTTACAGCCTAAGGTTGACTTAAAATCCAAAAATTTGGTATGATCCAACTCGATTACAGTACATGGTTGTAGTTTCATGCTTTGATTGAAAGATGTGCCAAAAATAAATGTATTTATACTCCTTTAGAATGGTTTTCATTGGTACGATGGGCTAAACAAGATGGGAAACCATATACTGTAATCGAGTTGCATCATACCAAATTTTTGGATTTTAAGTCAATCTTAGGCTGTAAAAATTGGACTAAGAACTTGAACGGTGATGTTGTGTTCAAATAAACTCCATTATGAATATCATTTGGATGAGTCTCAATATATGACTGTTGTTACTAAAATTAACACGAGACGACGACAGCAAGATTACTCTGATGTTTGCCCCCTTTTTAACCATATGCTACCTATAACCAAAGTTAAAAAAAATACTTGGTAAGCCTTTGTCCTAGAGGTGTCATTCCAGCGGTGCATCACCAATTCTATCACAATCTTCTTGTAGATTCTTTTAATCATAATGTTGAGAGTGATTCAGATTTACTTTTTTTAGTTATAAAGCTTTTTACCTATTATTGATTACTTATAAAAATACATACAAATGTCACTAATTAAAGAAATTTAGTTTGTCACAGATCGTCATAAATTATAGCCTATATGTTATGTTATTCTGGGTTATAAACAAAAATACTGTAAAGTTTCATCAAAATCTGTTCGGTAGTTTTTGCACGAAAGAGTAACAAATTTCCAGACATCCTGATATCCAGACATCCTAACTTTCGCATTTATAATATTAGTAGGATCGAAGTACCTTCATCACTAAGTAAATCACTGGAGATCAAATTAGAAAATGCTTGGATTTCTATTAAATCAGCTCCTTCAGGCAATGGCGAATCTGAAAATATTAAAAAAACACAAACATAAAATATAATTTAACTCCACAACGAAGACGAAAAAATCGTAATTAAACGTTACAATAGGAATAAATACTCAATTTACCAACGTAAACAATATTAAATTGCACATACAATATCAAACGTACGAAAACAAACCACGTTAATAATCGTATGTATTACATACGACAAAAAATAAATTGAATTGACAACGTTTATCATGGTATGTAAAACATACGATACTTTGTTAGCTTAAAAAAGGAACGTAAATAATCGTATGTGTTAATTACTATAGTTTTGAATAGCTAGTAACAAAATATAAGGCAATTTTAAACACCAAAAGGAAAACTGTAATTACTACTTACCTAATAGTATGCGCTCGCTAGCGGTGAACCAAACTGCTTCTCCCATGTAGACGATCGCACAGGACATTACGATAGTATACGTTGCGAGCGTGGATTACATACGATTGAATACGTGTGAAAAATCTTTTATTTTAAATGATATTGCAATTTTTGTTCGCGGGTTCGATAATACGTATTTTAGTAATTATAAAATGCTTATAAAATCAAAATTGATATTTTGTGGCTTACGATTATTTACTTAGGAGGCATCGATATTAAGCTTACAGAAAACCCAAAGCGCTTACATGTTTAGTCACCACATCGATTGCAATAAATAAGTAAGACATAATAGAGTCCTAGTCATAGGCAGATGTGCTGATAGCCATTAAGTGTGAAAGTTTCTTAAATGAACAACAAATTACTCGTACAAGATTTTTCCAGCTCTTGTAAAAGATTAACCTGTTACGAGAGTCAGGCCTCCCCAACCCGTCTGGCCAGCGTGGGGAGTGTACGCTAAATCCACCATTTGCCTGTGGTAAATTACAGGGTCTCCTGCAGTGGAGACTAAATGACCTGATGATGGTAATGACAATGATGATTTATTTATTTATTTATTTTATTGGGCTATCAACATGAGATACAGTATTAAACTAGTACACATTCACAGAGTCAGGCTCCTGCTTAAATGTATATCAGGCTTTTGTTCTGTCATGTATAATAGAGCTCAATTACACCTAATATGACTAAGATGTTTATTTACCCATTAAACCTTAATTATATGACCCCAATTTGCCTATTCCTTGTTCCAGATCAGGATGAACCGTGGCTCGAGGGAGGAGCTCCTGGGCAGCTCCCAGGAAGCCCTCAGGAACAGCCAGCATGACCTGAGGACCTTCAACGAGCGAGCCCTCACCAGAGAAGAGAAGACGTACCTCCTCCATGCTGATAGAGGAGACTACGCCACTGTTAAAAGGTAAGGAGCTTAATATATGTGGTGTAGACTTTAAATAGCAAACCTCAAGAATTTGGCAACCTCTTTTTATTACGTTTTTATCACATTAAGTACTCGTACCAAAAGCTAAAAAGTTGTTGGTAGAGAATGCTGTTAGTCTGACAATTGTATTGTTCTTTGTACAAAAATGTAGGGAAGAAATTGTAGATAAAACAATAATTCTTCACCTTAGAGTCGGACAGGTGTGTGACCTCGTCGGACAATCAGTTTGGCTTGCGCTGTTTTATAGCTGAGTATACGACGTAGTGATTTAGTTACTTTTTTATAGTTATGGGTGTAATAACTGAACTTTGACAAACATTTTTTAGACATAACATTACAATGACACCATTTATTATTTTACCAGTATGATTAGGTATAGTTCATTCGACACTACGATACTCCGAAAAATGCGTTTCACCTTTAAGAAACCTTAGTTAGTCGGAGTTCAGTTTTTATGCCAAAATTGCCCAATTTAGGATATTTTGGTGTTGGTCGTGGACAAATCAGCAATAAAACATCAAAAGAATACTATTTCATGCCAGCAATCTACACTTACGGCAATCAGATTACAAGTTAGCAACAAAAACTACGACACCTGCAAATATAAGGCAGATTATTCGGGTGCCCCGACTCCTGGGAATCAGTACAACGGCGTAATCCTATTAGTGATACGTCGCTTTGGTTTGGCGTTTTATCACACTCACACACGCCCTGTATTGTTTTTGTAGTGACAATTATCGGCTACTCTTCAGGCACCTTTTTGGGATTCAATAGGGATACGGTTTAGATCAGAACTCTTTTGGGGTTCTTTAACCATCTATTTACTGTCAATTTTGGGGAATATACTTTTTATTGCACACCACATACAACTGACAATAAAAAGGCACAATTTAAGCAGTCTTCTCGCTAACAAACGACCTTACAAAAATTTTACATAAAAGGACGAAGAAAAGATAAATATTATTGTCTATTACAATATGATCTGCGATACCTAATTCGCTCGTTCGTTCGTTCGTTTCAGCCAAATGACGTCCACTGCTGGACAAAGGCCTCCTCCAAGGTTTTCCACAATGCACGATAGGTAGGTACCTAATATTTAGTCATAAATTCATATTATGTACAAATGTTTACGATGGAATGGGGATAAAGAGAGTGACTACAAACTCCTAGCTTCTACATAATATCATGATTACCTAAATAAAGTTACATTTGAGTATTTCATTGTAATTTAACATTCTCAGCGCGCGTCACTTTCAGTCGGGTCAGTTACTCTTCAGGAATTCGTTGGAATTGAAAATCGGAAGGGGCGCGAAACGCCTGTATGTGTGACAAATCCTATACACGCATCATTTATGAACAACAGTCTCATAGAGGTGACAAAATTTTCAAAAATACATACTTTATTTTTAATCTCTAATCTACTTAGTTTCTTTCTAGTTTAGAAAACACCTTTTAAAAGTATGGTTAGTACCTACTCATACTTACTTAGTTTTGTATGCCAGTATACATAAGTAGATGTTCAGGGTTTGTTTACAGACCAAACTCAGAACTAAGCACTTTACTTAGGCTGGGTTGCACCATCTTACTTTAACTTTGACAAACGTCAAAAATCTGTGAAACTCCATACAAAAAACACCGGTTATCATCATAGTTATGATCAAAGTTAGGTGGTGCAACTCAGCCAAAGTGCCCTTTCACATTAAATCTAGATCGAAGATTCAACGCAGATAAACTGGAATTACGTAAGTACATTCCTTCAACATAATAACCTTATACATACGAAATCATCTCCTAAACACCCTATTTTCACGTCTACCCACAGCCAACGATTGAAATCGTCTCTCCTATTGATATCCCATTGTAGAGACCCGCAAATCCTTACATCCGAATTATTTGTCAAGTATTTGTATGCATGAACGTAGGGAAATAAATTGATGTTCAAACCTTCACAAAGGTTTGGACTTTGGAGGCGTTTGGTTGGACTAATCTTCGGATATTTATAGCTGAAAAAGGTTGACGGTAATATGAGTCATTAGAACTATATTCAAAACCTATTTAAAATTCGAAAATAGGCATTATGTAGGTTAAAACGTAAAAATGATGTGAAATATAACTTTAAATTAACGGTCAGCTTGAAAATTTACTTGGTAGAGTTTACTGTGCATTATACGTCAAAATTAATACAACTAATTATTTTATTGACTTTATTAAAAAAAACCTCAATAGTTATTAGAACACTTTCGTATTTTTAGTTGATTTTGTTAAAAAGTTACAAATCATGGTTTCTATCTACACTTCTGTTTGTTTTTGTGCAAAAGCCATTTATTTATATCTAACTTAAATTAAAATGCTCGTGTCACAGTGTTTGTAACAAAACTCCTCCGAAAGTGCTTGACCGATTCTTGTGTTTTATTAGGGCTCAGAATAGGGCGTAGTACCTACCTAAACTAAGTCAAAGTCAAAGTCAAAGTCAAAATTTCTTTATTTGTATAGACTAATATAGTTCTTACAAATCGTCATTTTGCTCTTAAGGAGCCTCTACAGTATTTTTCATACCCCTGGGTGCAAAACAACATTTGCTGGGTCAGCTAGTTATAGATAATATTGTTTGTCTGCAGGCTAATAGAACAGTACTCCAACAACACAGATGTCCTGGACATCAACTGTGTGGACCCCCTAAACCGGTCGGCGCTCATCGCCGCCATTGAGAATGAGAACATCGAGCTCATCAAACTGCTGCTGGACTCTGGGATTATGGTCAAGGTGAGGGATAGGAATGGATTCAGGATTCAGCAGTGCCTTAATATGACACACATTTAATCATTACCTAATCATAATTGAGCGTCAATTGGGCACAGGAAAATAAAATAAATACCAATCTTACATTAATAGATGTACCATCATCATCATCATCATCATCTCAGCCATAGGACGTCCACTGCTGAAGATAGGCCTCCCACAATGCTTTCCATGTTGCTCGGTTGGTACCGGCCTGCGTCCAGCGCCGTAGATGTACACTTTAATAAAGTTATACAAACCTACGTATTGCACGCTGTCTGAGCTAGACCCTACGGGGTGTCATACTTATGTAGGTATCGACCGTAATTAATAAGTATGTATTTATAATGCCATATAATTAATACGCATTCTCATATTATATGTGCTACACAGAAAAAAATGAAGATCAGTAAAACACCATGTGACATGCAAATAAATAAATAAAATCCACAATTAAAGAGTCTTTAACCCTTACAAAATCTTTGATATTCAGTTCTGCCCCAATAAACAATACTGTGTATCGCTGGCGTAAAGTCTCGACATGAATTAATTGCAAGTTAAACAGAAAACAAATGCGCAAAAGAAAATAATCAAATTCACACAAATACATTCATTTTCAAAAAAAATACCTGCCGATATCAGCCAGAACTTGCAGACAGCAAAAGTGAAAAAAAGACTATTGTCTGCCGAAATAAAGAAATATTATTTGAGGGAAGCCTCCGTCGGAACCCTCGGGAAATCATTGCTGTAGTTTGCATGATCACATCTGTCGTACATCACGAACGGTGTAGTACGCTAGTAAAACAATTGACGATTTGCGTAGGTACAATAGTTACTTTCGTGCTATTCGTGACTTTTGCGATTTATTTAGTTTTTGGTACGCCGGTTGCAGCTTCGTTCTGGAAAATTCTCGTAGCCTAGGCGCAGACCACCGATTTTTAGTTGGCCGATAGTTGGGTCGGGCTGTTAATCAGTATGGGCATGTATGAAAGTGCGCACATGACATCGATTTGGTATCGCCTATTCTTCATACAAAGTAGAATCGGGCCCAACTATCAACCAACTAAAAGTTAGTGGTCTGCGCTTAGGCATAGTGTTTATAGTTCGCACACTACTACGAAAAACTGCTTCAGCTTTGCGAGCGAAAGCACAAAATATAACAGAAGGTAAACTAATGTATGTACCTCGCTTTGCATACCTCTCTCGCTCGCACGCTCGGCCGTCGCGCTAGGGTTGTCTTGTCATGTGTTGCGTTTATTTCGTTATGATAGAAAAATGTTACTCTTAATACTATGCAAGAAAGACAATAACAGATATNGTGAGCGACAAGGAAACGGTGCGTGGCGGACGCGCCGCGCTTCAGGCCGCTTGCTATAATAAACCATGCGCGGGACGCGCCGCGCTTCAAGCTGATTGCCACCCCAAACTATCGGTGTGCACTCACACAAATGCAATTCTCAGCTTAAGTTGAGAGGACTGTACCTACACGTACACGGTCGTTCGATTTGGCTGACAAAGGCAAGGATTACCATAACGACCGGTTCTGCGATGCCCGCATCCAGATACTTCCTGCGACCTTCACCAGATCGTCGGTCCAGCCTGTGGTTGCCATTTGATAAATTTTCTGCCCCAACGGCCATCAACTCTACGAGATGTGTGCCCCGCCCACTACCACTGTTTGATTTTAGCTATGTTGGTCACTTTGGGTTTCCTACGGATCTCCTCATTTCTGATTCGATCACGCACTCCTCTTAACTGCACCTTATTAAACTTCATCATCATCATCATCATTTCAGCCATAGGACGTCCACTGCTGAACATAGTCAAAAGTCAAAAGTCAAAAAGTCAAAATTCCTTTTTTGTTTAGACTAATAAATAGTTCTTACAAATCGTCATTTTGCTCTTAAGGAGCCTCTACATGTCCCATAATCTTTTTGCCCTACCAGCGCTTCGAGACCAACATTTGGCAAGTGCTGAGAAGAAGCGCCGCAACAAACTCAGTCACCACTGTCTGCCGGTTAATATAAATAAATAGAAATAGCAGTAGTAGGTACATTCGATTCAGGAGGGCCACCCCCAATGATTTCCACAATGGCCGGTCGGTGGCGGCCTGCACCAGCGCAGCGCCTTCCCACTACCTTTATGAGGTCGTCGGTCTAAACTTATTCTAAGCTATTGTAACGGTTAGCGTTACCGCTGATCGTTATCTTAGATCTAAATTCTACTTTAATTACTATTATCTACCTAAATAAATAAACTTAAATAATAATATATCTAAATCTACGTAAACTACCTAACTAAATAACTTAATTAAATAATTCATATTGTTCTACACTAATAAAATAAATAAAATAATAAATCTACAAGTAAACCCGCGCGAAACAAGTTGTTCAATATTTCTTTTGTTCTCTGTCGAGCGGGCGGACTGTTTTTTATGTATGCGCAAGCGACGCGCCTACGGCCGCGATGCTCCCGCCGCGTCTCCTAGTCCGAGCCAGAGCGTTAGTGAGCACGGACGTATCGCTGTCCGTCACCGCCGGACCCGCGATGTACATAATATCTTAAAAACTAAAAATGTAATCGCGTATTGGTGAACCCCGCTACCGGGTGAGTGTTGCAAAAGTATTTTTAATGACTAGATTTTATACTTGTGCTAAATGTAAGTGCCTAGCCGCCATTTTGTTCTTGATATGTGCTATCCATGTGCTCGGTGTCATTTCATACAAATTTCCTATTTCTATAACTTTTTAATATTATTATTTTACAACTTACTACATGATTAAATAAGTAAACTAAATATTTTATGAAATGACATCGACACGTTATGACCTTTAAATGACCTTGTTCGTACTGTAACGACACTTTCTAAAATCTATTTAATTTACTAAATTGAACTATTCTAATCTTATTCTACTGTTCTAATTATTCTAAATTATTGCCTACCTATATTGTTTTATAAATTAATTGCCTACATAGATATGCTAAATTATTTTCTACCTACATAATTTAATATTTTTGCCTACTTCACTTTGCAATCACTTTCACTTCACCTATTGTAATTCTGTTTGACTGCCACATCATTACATCACCATTTATTACCAAAAATCATTCCATCTGCTTCGCTAGTATTTTGATGTCGCAGTCAAACGGACAAAAGCTAGCAACTGCTTTAGTGTCCGCTTTGATTTGCAGGGTTCATCTTCACCTTCATCTTCTACGACTACCTACTACACCATGCATGGTCACCACTGCCGAAACTACCACCTGGGTCTTCAACCCGGCAGAGCTGCCTGCCGTGTCGGACGGCCCGTGCGCACTCTCTAAGTGGCCCTACACCACAGTGCGTACGGCCCTAACCGTCCGGCGTGTCGACAACTCTGCGGGCCTACCATCAAGAAGAACCAACCCACATCACCATCAATGCTAGCGAGGACAGTGGTTTGAATATACTACCACCGGTGACGAATCTCGTGCGATATGATAGTTAGCTCGTAACCCACACCCTTAAGGTCTTTTGCTCTTTAATCTAAATAAATTACTTGCTAATCTAAATTATCTTTTATTTCTCAAACTAAATCTAAATTCTAATATGTCACCTGGCTCTAAAGCTACTAACCGTGACATNTGACACTATTATCCAACTAATATTATAAATGCGAAAGTTTGGATGTCTGGATTTTTGTTGCTCTTTCACGCAAAAACTGCTGAACGGATTTTGATGTAACTTTACAGTATTATTGTTTATAACCCTGAATAACATATAGGCTATAATTTATGACGATCTGTGACAAACTAAATTTCACGCGGGTGAAGCCGCGGGCAAAAGCTAGTTATCCAATAATTCCTAAAACCTCTCTAAAACAATTCGATATTCCTAATAATTGAGTTGGCTTTCAATTTCAATTAAAATTCAAATAAATAACTTACTTACCTCCCCGAATCAACTGGTAATTTAAAAAATGAAAATTCGGTATTTAATGATGAGTTTAAGCAACCAAAATACCGACCAATTATAATACGACTTTTCCTGTTCACTCATTTTCGTCAATTTCGCAAAACAAAATAATATCACAGGCGGTTGACCGGCGCGTGACTCAAGCGAACCACAGCGAACGTGTGGCGAACGTCTGTCGCGCCACGTCGCGCTCGCATTCGTCCAAGACAGTCTTGCTAGAGTGGTGCCTATGTGTGCGTGGCTCGAGCGCGTTTAGTATGGAGTTTGTCTTCTGTTATATTTTGTGGCTAAAGTAACTCAGTTGAGCTTTTGGTATTTAACCCGCATGAGAGTAAACATGTTTTTTGATGGATTCTTATACACTTAAATATAATTATAAAGTATATTATACATTATAATGGATGGATGAATAATGGATCCAAGGCTAACTATATTGGAGTTTCTCCCTACCTGTCTATAAATTGAAAAACACGTTGATGTGGAATTATCAAAAAGTATAGCTAAATATTATCTTCTTTACCTCCTTATTATTGCTACGTAAATCGGTTTTCATAGAAAAGCTCACATTATGACGTCAGCTTCATTGTGAATATTTTATAAGGCTACTTATCATCATGGTAAGCCACAAAGTATGAGACAAGGTTTTTAATCTATTAAAAAAAAACGATTATGTTGTTGCGTTAACCGATTATTGAGTAATTCGGTATTTTTTTTAAACAGAGGTGCACACTCGCTTTAGTTTTATTAATTGTTAAGTATTATTGGTATTATAAACAACGTTATGCCTGCCTCTGTGTGACGTCCGTCACCCATAACCAGTGTGAGTGCAAGAAAGAAGATATGCACTGTTTTGTTATTACACCGCCTGCCTGCTACGAGTCTTTGCGCCGATAGGTAGGTATAGGCTGGGTTACGCCATCTTACTTTAAACTTTGACAAACGTCAAAATCTATCAAACTCCACACAAAAAGCACCGGTTATCGTTAAAGTTACGGTCAAAGTTAGGTGGTGCAACGCAGCCTTAGTAAAAGCGTACGTCCAGCAGTGGACTGCTCTATGCTGATGGATGATGAAGAAGTAAAAAAGCATACGTAACCACAATCTAACGTTTTACGGTTCATCGGTTAAAAACCGGGGCATACGCCGTAAATAACCGACGTCTAAAACCAAACTATTAAATTTTATTTACCCTCTCATCAGATGCTATTTTTATTACTTCCTACACAAGATACTCAAACTAAGAAGGCTCACATTATTTAATATTACTGGATTTATGACCGCGTAAGTTCATAAAATTCCAAAAAGTGTGAAACTACGGAGTAAATAAATAAGTATCACATTTTTACAACATGTACTATTAAAGGCCGGTAGATCTATTCTCTTAAATAAAACACTGGATACTCATCTTTTACATTATATTGCCTTATTTTAATTACAATTCATCACTTAACACAAAAGCGCGCGGCGTCTCCGCGTGTCCCTCTATTCTGACGTTTGATTCTCGTGTGACATTGACAATACGTCAATGTCACTATGAAAGCAGCTCATTGGCTATAACGATACCGCTATTTTAACGTTTTATATTTTTCACAATTAACAGTACATACTCACATCCCTCACTGGTCTGGTCTACGAAAAATGCACATCGTGCATGCAACAAATTATTGTGTAGGTATTGAGTAATTTAGGTTTTCCAAAAATACAGCACATTTTTCTTAAAAAACCTTCACGGAAAAACAAAGTTATGACGTCATTTAAGGGAATATAAGAAAAATAAATGAAAAACAGAAAAAAAATCATCCATACAAATTAGAAGAACGGTAAACACATTGCAACGAGATATTAGAATTTCAACTTAATGGCTAATGCCTACCGCACTTACTTAAACTTATACTAAAGAGTTCACTGTGGTTATTAATCGGAAAGTTTCGTGCAAGGATTTTCACAGCATCTAATCTTGTTTATTACTAAAACAAGTAAATGACTGAAAGCTGTTTAAATAGAGCCCTTCCAAAATAGGTAACGTTTTTAGGACATTTATAAATATCTTACGGGAAGGTCAGGGGCGGGCTTAGATTAATTATAAAATTGTGTGATACGCAATACTTAATTAAGAAAGTTAATATTGAAGCTGTATTTATAGTGATTTGTACTCGTAAGTTGTTTATTAATTGGTTTATAATTAAAGTTTATGGTTGATGACGTCAATAGTCGATTGATTTGTACACTAAGCTATTTATAATGTGACAAGCAATAAACAATTTGTATTTGAAAACTTTGAAATTGACTTATCATTTCATTCCAATGCTGGACATAAAAAATAACCGCCAGCCACCGCCAGCTATCTTCTTAAAGGATTCGGTTCAACGAGTAGGGGATTGTCTATATTATATGTTTGCTGATACGTATGGTCATTGGTCTTGAAGAATACCATGACCTTTCATGGGTTCTACGACAGACTATAACCAGTCCTTTACAACTTCAGCTTACTTTTGGACTATGTCCATTATTGCTCTTCTATCGAATGACCTCATTTCAGATTTTATCCTTTAGCGAGATTCCGAGCAAAGCTTTCCATAGCTCACTGACTGGCTCATGAAAGCAAATTATTTGCCAGAGTGCAAATTTGAAGCACCATAACGTTTTTATAAAGATATTTCAACAATGTGCTCTTTGATTGACAATTGATTAAAAATATTAAATCTTAGTTGAGGATGAAAAATAATGGAACCCTCGAAGTTCCATGATAAGTGGGTAAATATGCTTCCAAGTCCTATTTAGTTAAAAATCTAATTAATGTACTAATATTTTATCATGTAGAGCCTAGAACATGTTATATTTATCTCTTACTGCCTGGTTTGGATAATAATTATACCCCCAAAACTTAAAATAAGATGCTCACTAATAATAGCATAGCGCAAAAAAAGAAAATGTGGCCATTTTCTTTTCTTTTCACCACGGCAAAACACCAAGAATAAAGTTAGCGCGGCGATGTCGATAACCGAGTTAGAACGTAATATGATTGGGGCATGCACGGTGACTGCTTAGTTGGTGCACATACTGGCTGATATTTTCGAACATTGAATTGTCATTTGTTTTTAAAATTTAGAAGACAAAAATGGAACCCGCGTTGTTGACACTTATTTTTTTATTTTGTGCCAGTTCTTAATATAAACTTTTTTTCTGATGATATTAAATTGAAAAATTAAAGAAATAATCAAGGTATCTACTATGTGATGATGATACTACTCATAATAACTGTCTTTAAAATTGTTCAAATAAGTATTTTAATCGAATAAACTACAAACTTCACAAATCTCGCATGAAAAATTCATATTGCTTCAGTAAATCACTCTATTGCCGCTATCTCTCAAACACAAGTCATATCAGTGATATTGAAACGTTTAGGTAACTAAGCTTTTTTATCCAGATATTTTCTAGAGCCACTTTTTGTAAAAATCTTTCCTAAATAATCAAGTATTTACTTCATTCTTACGTTTTAAAATAACAATAAAGTTTCACTGTAATTGTTTAAAATAGCATAAAAAGTTTCTATGCTAGTTTCAATTAATAAAAATTACAGCATCAAACCTCCTTAGAAAGTATAAATTTTGCTACGAGTACCTATATCTGGCCACTTCAGTTTATTTTTTGTGTGTTGTCTTTTGTTTGCTGACAATTTATGCGGACTTTGGGCGATTGTGTTTTTTTATTATTTTCGTCATAACTTTTTTGTAATTGGTGCGAAGTTAGGAAAGATGTGAACACTTTCTAGGTTTTTTGTAATTGAAAGCTGTACGTCAATTTATTAGTTTCAACCACCTTTACACGTATTGATAGTAGATTACCTACTCAGAAAAGTAAACAACAAGCGACTTTCTTGTGAATTTTCTTCGTTATGTTTTGATGAATCTTAAATATTATTTTATTCTTCTTAGGATGCCCTACTCCATGCAATCAAGGAAGAATACGTAGAGGCAGTAGAGCTACTTCTGCAGTGGGAAGAAGACCACCATGTACCCGGTGATCCTTACGTAAGTACCTTTTATCTAAATATATAAAAGGAGAAACTGACTGACTGACTGACAGATCAACGCACAGCCTAAACGGCTAAACGTAGGCACTTGAAATTTGGAAGGGACGTAGCTTAGGTACCGTAGAGGTGCACTAAGAAAGGAATTCCCGAAATTCCCACGGGAACGGGAATTAGCGGGAAAAACGGGATTCACGCGTACGAAGTCGCGGGCGGCCGCTAGTTATAGTAGGTAATTAGTAGTAGATTTCGTCCAGAACTTTTAAAGAAAACTGTAAAGAATTCTCTAATTCCTAACAAACCAAACAATTTATTTTGCTTATTCAATGTTTAAAATACAGCGCTTACTGAATAGCACAGGCAATAACTGAGAATCGAAGTTACTATAATAATAATATTTATGTTTTACTCAAAATTAAGAGAATTATACATTTATATGGTATTTTATAACCTTAATTCCGCGGTAAAAATGACCCTTCACGCCACCTACTTATTGACCTTGCAATAAAGAGAAATGAGTTTAAAAACTAATTAGCAATAAATCTACCGGATCACCTATAAATTTTAACCCTTTCCAACGTTTAGTTGGGCCTTTGGGGCACCTACATTAGCTATGAAGAAACATTCAAATTAAAATATATTCACAAAGTAAGTAGCTAAGAACAAATCTAAAGAAAATTCTTGATCTTATTTTTTAGAAAAGGTTGTTTGTTACCTACTTTACCCCTTTAATTTTAGTTTCAACTGTTATGGGAGTTAACACTGCCGTCATTTACATAAAAACTTTCCTTCATGAAAACTAAATAACCATCGTTATACCAATTAGTTTGTTTGTCTCTTTTCATCCAAATGAAAAATAGCATCTTTCAATAAAAACAGCCAAGTAGGCATTTACCAACATATCCATAAAACTCAATAAAAACAGGGTATTTTTATGCTAATCTTACCTTCAATTTTATTCAAGTGGAAAAATCATGACGTCAATACTAGGTAAAATCATAAATATAGTTCTTACAACTGACGAAGGCGAGTGAGCTTTACTTGTGTATGTACGTGTACATGCACATAACGATAGTGTATAATGTCAATAATGTCTATCAAAACTCTTGAAAAACGAACAGTATCAAGCCACCACACATGTCACTAGCTTTCGTGAATTGCAACAACTCTAATGGTGCGTCCACACTGAGCGAACGGGCTCGCGCGGCACGCTAGTCATCCTGCTCACCCTGCTCTTGAGCCCGTTCGCCCAGTGTGGACACACCATAAGAATTTGTTATTCCCAACAGAGCTGGGAGTCAGTAGACCCTTCAGCGGCCACCTTCACGCCAGACATCACGCCTCTCATCCTGGCTGCTCACAGGAACCACTACGAAATCCTCAAGATACTCCTGGACAGGGGAGCGACTCTGCCCATCCCCCACGACGTCAAGTAGGTACAGACCCTTCATCATTCATTATCACCATCTTGAGTATACGCTGGTCATCCTGAGAGACCACGGGATCCCTCAAATGGTCCCTAATATCCTGCCGAACAAGAAAAACACGTTTTCCACCCCCACGGCTTCAAGTAGGTATCATCATTCATTGTCACCATCTTAGGTTCTTCACACCGCTTATCCTCGCAATCTCAGGGAACCACGATGAGGTTCTCTATTTCTCTAAGTTAGAGGAGTCATACTGCTCATCCCCACGACGTCGAGTACAGATCAAGTCAAGTCATTCATCTAGTCACCATCTTAAAAGTTGTTCACGCCTCTCACCCTAGTAGCCCATAAGGAACCATTGTGAGGCACTCAACATTCTCGTAGACAGAAGAGCTAGATGGTAATAGATACCTACTCTGCATCATTCATCTTATCAAAAACGTATGTTGTTTCATCACAAAAAAATTTGGTCATTCGTAAACTAGTGATTGGTGAGACTAGCTTCATGTCGCCTTAGAAAGATAGATCATATTAATTTTTACACTTTTTTGGGTCGTCCATTAATCACGTAATCCCAGCTTCCTTCCCGCTGGTAATAAATGGCGAGTTTTAATAACACAAAACCATAATTTGGGTCACAGGGAGACCTTTACGTAAAATATTAGATCAAGCATTACCGTGACTAAAATCCTAAGTAAATATTTAGGTTATCAACACGCTCTGCCAACGTGTCGCATGCTAAACAATACACAGCCGGTCTATTTTCAGTCGTATAACATGGGCTCAGAGTCAGGGCAAAGCCGTGTTAACGTGAAATCTCTAGATAAGTCTGCATGTTGATATAAATATTTCATTATCCAACAAAGTGGGCCTCTTCGATTCCCACAAATTCAATAAAACCAGTAAAAGGGTTTACACTAGCAGTGGCACGAGAGTCTTTTAAAACCTTCGTCGCTTGACTCTTTTTCCTGGCTTGGAATGCAAGTCATGAGTTTCTTTTCATAATAATGTGAAGATTTGAGCCATTAAGTATCACATCTTACTTGTTAAACTACTCGCTCACCCCACTATTCCTATGGATGTCGTAAAAGGGGACTGAAGAACAAATATCGGGCCTCCTCATTTCCTCAACCCGTCTGTCCAGCGTGGGAAATGAATGCTAAATCCTCTTTTTGATAAATCTGGCACATTAAAATGAATTACACTATTCATTAAAATAAATCATTATCTGATGATGATAACCCATTTAAGCTTTTCCTACTAGGACATGTCAAACTACATCCTCCTTACAGATGCGGCTGCGACGAGTGCGTCAAGTCCTCCCAAGAGGACTCGCTGCGGCACTCCCAAGCTCGTATCAATGCGTACCGCGCGCTCACCTCCCCCTCGCTCATCGCGCTGTCCTCAGCCGACCCGCTGCTGACTGCCTTCCAGCTGTCCTGGGAGCTGAACCGGCTGAGCAGGATGGAGACGGAGTTCCGGGTCGAGTACAAGGTGAGGTTTGACTCTGAGGCACTCCCAGGCTCGCATCAACGCGTACCGCGCGCTCACCTTCCTATCTCATCGCGCTGTCCTCAGCCGACCCGCTGCTGACTGCCTTCCAGCTGTCCTGGGAGCTAAACCGGCTGAGCAGGATGGAGACGGAGTTCCGGGTCGAGTACAAGGTGAGGTTTGACTCTGAAGCACTCCCAGGCTCGCATCAACGCGTACCGCGCGCTCACCTCCCTTAGCTCATCGCGCTGTCCTCAGCCGATCCGCTGCTGACGGCCTTCCAGCTGTCCTGGGAGCTGAACCGGCTGAGCAGGATGGAGACGGAGTTCCGGGTCGAGTACAAGGTGAGGTTTGACTCTGAGGCACTCCTAGGCTCGCATCAACGTGTACCTACCGCGCGCTCACCTCCTTAGCTCATCGCGCTGTCCTCAGCAGACCCGCTGCGGACGGCCTTCCAGCTGTCCTGGGAGCTGAACCGGCTGAGCAGGATGTAGTACGTACCTTTATTAAATAAACTGTTGTAAATTAAACTAAGCTTACCAGAATTTATTGTGAGTACAAAGTTTTTTAATCAAAAAGTTGCTGAAATAATTAGCTCCTAGCCCGGCTAACCCAAATGCAAGTAGCAGACCAAGATTTAAGTTAAATTACTTAAGCATTAGCTAGCATAGCTTACGCAGTTTTTCATAAATACCTATCGTACAAACTGCAAACTATAGGTACAAACTATTGAAAACTGCATCATCTATGCCAGCCATGCTAAAACTATCTTGGTCTACAACCCACAAAATAAGGTCTGACTATAACCACTTCTATAGGCACTGCGGCAGCAATGCCAAGAGTTCGCCACCTCCCTCCTGGACCACACGAGGACGTCCAACGAGCTGGAGATCATGCTCAACTACAACCCCTGGGACACGGACAGCTGGGAGCCAGGGGAGAGACAAACCCTGGGCAGGCTCAAACTGGCCATCAAGTACAAGCAGAAAATGGTAAGCGATCTTGGTAGAAGATGATAGTGTTCACATCAAATTATCTCTAGAACTGTATTCTATTCGTACTGTATTCTGTATTGTATCGATGTGTCAGCTAGTAGAGGTGATTCTCTTCATAAAGTTACGAAGAGAGCAAAAATAAAAAGCCGTACTATTGCGTTTATTCGAAAGTCTGACATCTTATTTCATCTTTTTTTCGTTTCAAGGTATAATATATTTCTTGACTGAGTAGGTTCCTATAGTTAGTGGAGCGGGGATAGGGTGTGTTTTTATTAGTGAAACTTAACCAGGCTTCAAAATGTGCTTCATAATAAATGTATGACCGACCATGACCCCCAATTGAAACTGTTAAGAATATTTGTTAAATTACATAGATCTATCTGTAGTCGTTATTTATCCCAAAAACAACACAACAATACCTATCTACATAAAACAGATGTTTTCTAATTGATGACGTTGACCATAAGTAAAATATGTACTTTTGTACCTCATCTAATTTATCACTCTCAAATACCAAAGAAAGTGGGTGTTTTTCTTCATACAAATAAACAAAAGGTGTCTTATCTCATACAAAGCCACACACAAGGATCAACAGGTCACGGCCTCCCGCCCTCCGAGTAAACTCCGAACTCGTATCTTCTCGTTTGCAATACAAACTATCTTTTTACCTAAGTCGCGTTCAGGAGGACACTGAGAGAAAAATACTACACATAGCATAGGTACTATGCCAGACTTGCAATAAAGCCAAGTGCACATAGACTTTAATTTTCTGTATAACTATGTAACACTGGGCCTTTGATACTTTGAACAATAATGTGCAATTTTGTTCATACTGTCTGTAAATCTTTTGCCAATTTTTTCGATTTGGTATCATGGAAATTAAATCTTATGCCTATTTTATATACAATATTTAGTACAGTAGGTAGATAATAATAGGAACTTAAATTAATAATGACATATTTTTCGCATAAAACAATAAAAATCCACTTAAGTGGAAAAGATAACGGGAAGAGTGAAAAACACCACCTCTCAACTTTAATAAATGCTGAAAATAGCTCTTACAATAAACGAACTAGTTTATCTATAAAAAGAACTTCACATTAAAGCAGTTGTAAGTGTATTCCAAACTTAAGTATGTTTCATCCGTCCCCACTATGAGTGGAAATGAAAATATACACCACGTCACTGGCCAAAGCACTGAAATATCTTAAACCTGCTTTCGCCTGGAAAAGTTATAAATCGTAATAAACTGAAAAGTGTAGGTATTTTCACTCCTATTTTAGAATTCCGTTTTCAAGCCGTATTTTTCATTGCATACGATCATAAATTCCATATCAATTTGTAAATGAAACACCCGCGACGATTCCTTTAGCGATATTGGTTTGTTTTGATAAGCTGATGCTTTATTTTGCAATGTTTTATTCAATCTATAGCTACGCAGAAGCTTTGCTATCGTCAAATAGGATGGTCAAATCCGATGGTCAAAATAATACTGCACAGGGCGGATTTTGTTTGTTAATTTATTATGGTATGTTTTATCTCTGCTAGCAATGTATTTTTCATTTCTGTAACTTTTATAAAGATACATTATTCTAGAAAGGTGCCAATACAAGCTGAAAAGAAGAGAAAGGTGCGGAAAAGCTGGCTGAGCTGGCTCATAAATAAAATTATAATAATGTTACGACAGACGCAGAAACAAAACGATTATGAAGTGAGGAATCATATTAAGGTTTCCATATGTCGTGTCCTGCGTGCCCAAACAACTGCACGCATTTGATGAAGGCTATTGACAACGCCATTCTTGTGGCGAAGTTTTGGGCCGCTGTGTAGGTTTGTTGTCGACACGACAAAATCAAAATCAAAAATATTTATTCAGAGTAAATAGACGGCTCTAGCCATATAATAGAGCTACTATCAGGAGTTATCAAAGACTTTTTTTCATACTGCAGGCGGAAGGAACTTTTAATAAGTTAAGTGTTGTTCCAGTTCGTAGCACATCCGAATGTACAACAGTTGCTGGGCGCGATTTGGTATGAAGGCTTACCAGGATTCAAGAGAAAAAACATCGTCGGGCAATGTGTTCAGGTAACCTTAAATGAACTTTGTGCGTCGAGTCCTGACACAGAGACAGCAGACTGCGAACTCAATGAGGGCTATCGTTTTTGTACTTAGCAGTTGGCACCCCTGGCGATTGACAGGACCTTACTCTACAGTGGCGCCATCTTGATGAGTGTAAATGCGATAGTCCTCCTACCACTTTCGCGCTCACCAGTTGGTACCACTGTGTTCGCTACTAGCAAGTGACAGGACCTTACTCTACAGTGGCGCTAACTGGTGAGCGCTAAAACGATAGCCCTCATTAAATGACAATTTATTAATTTCTAAACTACATATTAACTCAAAGTTTACAGCCAATGAAAAGTAACTTAACTAAACTATCTTAATTAACTTATTGGGTATCATCTAACTATCTGTTACTTCCAAGTAAGTTATTCATTTTTTTATACATAACTAGCTGACCCGGCGAACTTTGTTCCGCCTTAATGGCAATAAATAACGGGATAAAAAGTATCCTATGTCCTTCTCCTGGCTCTAAACTACCTCCCTGACAATTTTCAGCTAAATTAGTTCAGCCGTTCTTGAGTTATAAGTGGAGTAACTAACACGACTTTCTTTTATATAATAGATAACGCGTTTTTTAAACTTATTCTTGTCGTAGGTAGCGAAACTTGGTGTGATGTTTCCCGTGTACTGCACGATCTACATGTTAGCGCCGAACTCCGAGTACGGCCGCTTCATGAAGAAGCCCTTCGTCAAGTTCATCTGCCACAGCTCCTCCTACATGCTGTTTCTAAGTAAGTACTTATCATCATCATCATCATCATCATCATCATCGTCATCATCATCATTATCATCATCATCTAACCGCCTCTGTGGTCTAGTGGTAAGACCACCTGCTTCAGACGCAGAGGTCCCGGGTTCGATTCCCAGTGGCGGCAGATTTTTCTGTTCGGTTTGGTTGGTGGTAGGGCTTGTTCTAAGTCCGCCTGGCTAGCTACCACCATCTTACCTAAGTCTGTCGCCATAACAACCATGTTAACAGCATTGTTGTGTTCCGGCAGTTAGAGGTAAGATAGCCAGTTCCTCCGTGGTTGAGGATTTCGGGTGAAGCTCGCTTCCACCTTCGGCCTGATCATCACTTACCATCAGGTGAGATACAGGCCAAGAGCTTCCTCGTTGTGGATAAAAAAAAAAAATCATCATCATCATCTCAGCTATAGGACGTCCACTGCTGGACATAAGCCTCCCCCAATGCTTTCCATGTTGCCCGATTGGTAGCGGCCTGCGTCCAGCGCCTTCCTGCTACCTTTATGATGTCGTCGGTCCACCTTGTGGGTGGACGTAAAAACTTCATCATCATCAATCAGGTCATTTAGTCTCCACTACAGGTGCACGACCCTCTCTACTTTACCTCTGTATGGAAGGAAATGGAACAAATGGAGGACTTTAAAACTTCTTAATGCCACTTCACTTTCATTTAATTCGTCATCATTATCAAGTCAAGTCTCCACTGCAAGAGCAGGATTTGGTTTTATTTAAGGACATTTTCCTCGATTTATTTGACATTTAGAAATTAATGTATAATTTATTACTATTTAATTAATTTTTAGTCTGCACTCTGTATTAATTTTAACTGTGGAAACTTTGCTGATTTCTGTCCTATTTTTTTGTGTGATTATTTGTCTGTATATCAAAATTGTTTGTTTCCCTAATATAAATAAATAAATAAATAAATAAATAATTGAACTAATATTTTCTCCATCATCATCATCAAGTCATTTAGTGTCCATTACAGGAGCACGACCCTCTCTAATTTACTAGAGGCAAAAGAAAGATTTGACGTAGGTACACTCCCCAAACCAGTCAAAAGGGTTGGGGAGACCTCATTTTCACATTTATTTTTATTTTATTGTCGGCCGTTTGGTGTAGTGGTTCAGAACGGACTACTATGCCGAGAGGTCCCGGGTTCGATTCCCGGCCGGGCAGAAATTGAAATGATGAATTTTAATTTCTGTGACGGGTCTGGGTGTTACTATGTATAATATGTATGTATTTAAAAAAAAAAGTATACAAGTAGTATATCCGTTAAGCTAGCACCCATAACACAAGCATTAAGTTGCTTACTTTGGGGCTAGCTGGCGTTGTGTGAAAAGTGTCCAAGGATTTATTTATTATTATCTATTATTTATTTATTTATTTGTCCAGTTGCTTTTATGATTTAAAAAAAAATTGAGGCTATGTGTTTAGTTCTTCCCAGTTTATCAAACGTTTTGTTTCGATACAAAATGGTCCATTACAATAACACAGCACTCGCAACTTTTTTACTTTAAGCGTATTCAAATCGTTTAGTGTGCCTATTTTTCCTTTCGTCCTACGAAAAACTTAAAATATACAACAGAGCTCATCTCGCAATAAATACATCCCAAACTTGCAAGGATAAGGGCTAAACACAATGACACCATGCTACTCCACACAAGGGACATTCACTGGGGAGTGATATTAATTAACCTAAATTTGATTGAAAAGTTAAATTAAGTTGCGATGTAACAGGTACTTGTTTAAGAACAATCTTAACCTTAACCTACTTAAGTACCAACATTTGAAAATTCTTTAGTTTCTGATTTTATTACGTAGTAATTTCCGAAAAAGTATACAAAATATACGGAAGACGGTAGGTAGATTATATCAAACTAAATACAGCATCTTGTGAACGACTACTCGTATTTTTAAAAAGAATTAATGTTTCTCACAATTATATTTTAATGTTTGTCTCTGTTCTACATCAAATGATATTTTGTTTCACATACGTAAGCTTTAGTTTATTACAGTTTTAAGCTGCACTAAAAAATTTAAGTCTACGGTATGATATAAACTTGTAAAACTCATTTTATTTTTGCAAGTAAGCTTTTAAAGACCACCTTTACACGTGATACCTACTTAATTGTTTTTAAACATACAAGTAAGTAACTTCAAGAAAATTACTTATTTGGTAAATTGGTAATCATTTAGTACATAATTATAGTTGTTAAGTTTCAACGCAATAAGGTAGAGTCTACTTAGTTTGATAGGCTCTATAACTAGTTGTTTATCACAACATAAAATATTGTAGTTAACTACAAAAAAGGCATCGCAAAACTTTCCCAAATAAAAATATGCGTGGCTTAAAAACATATTGAATAACGCGGTTAATCTGTGATTGTTATCTTGCCTTAGTAAATTACATCGATACCAAAGCAAAAGAGATTACAAAAATAAACACATATCTCTTTTCTCAAATTTTATCTTCCAACTCCTAATTCCTGCTTATCGGTGATAAATCTATCACATATTCCTGATTTATCATATTTACTCCCACCCGCGGTGATTCACTGATCTTTGTTTGATCATTCATCATTCAAACTCAGTCATTAAGTGTGTTTGTTTTGTACAAATGATTTCGGAACACACACAGACTTCAAAAAGATCAAATTATTTTAAGAAGACTACATTTTAAAAGTTTACGATACGTTTGAATTTACTATCGTTTCCGAGATTTTCTTTGAACTTCTACAATTCTTTTATTTGTATGATTGATGCTTACAAATATCCGAATACATTATAATAATAAAGCATACTCTTGTGAATATTTTTTGCTTCTTTTGTGATCTTTGCTTTGAATACTCTATCTCTGTAATAATATTACGTTAATATGTACTCATCTGCAAAACCAGATAAACGATTCAGAAACACACAGATCACAGAATAAGTAATAGGTAATCAATAGTAATATGAATACTCAATACCTTAGCAAGATAGTAAATAAAAATATCAGTAACATACAATTTGTAGAGAGATTCAAAAAGATTCTTTTTTTAAGTCAGTTAAAATTATGACAAAGGTAAACATACGATTATAATAAGGATAGTAAAAAAGTGTTGTCGCTGTCTATTAGTTTTTGCTCACGTGAACTATTATTGAGTGCACTATACTCAATGCTGTCCTAAGCTCTAAGTAGAAAAGCATCGTAATTATTCATGACCTATGGGACTGTTAATCACTGGCACAGGTCAACCAGGATTAACCCCAGTCAAAGACTTGCTGAACTTCGTTACAAGTTGACCAACCTGACTCCTTAATGTGTTTAAATACCCATTAGTAAACTATTAAGAGAGTTATGTTAGAAACTATACCGATTTTATAACGTTTAGTAGTTTGAATTCTAAGTTTTGTTAAACATGACTTAGGCCTGTATTCTGAAATGATGCTTATAATTGAAATTCAAGCATTAATTCAATCAGTGCTATATTTTGAGTCACGTTTTGAGTTTGATTTCATAATACCTTAGGTAGGTACACCTATTTTTATCAAGGGTTGTAACCATGTAAATTGTCAAGAGTCCAGACAAAAAGGGCATTAAAGTATTGGAACTCCTCGAATAAGACGTTCAAGATAGAATCAAATGACTTTGCTTGATTGGGAAATCAGAATCAGACCCCGCGTAGCGTAATAAGGAGAGGCATGAGAAGAAGTTAATATCTAATAATAATATCTGTTATTATCACTTCAGTCAGGCGCGGATCCACCGTTGTGGGCACTGTGGGCATGCCCTTAACCCTAATTTGCTTGTTTTAATTATGATCTATTGATAAGATCGATAGGCATGTACTCGTATGTATGTCCGGGCATGTAGTGATCCAACTCTCAGTTTGCTAATTTTTGGTGGCTGTGCCCACTACCTTTTTTGAGGGCTGGATCCGCGCCTGACTTCAGTGTCTATTCCATTCCATTCTCAATTTCTCATCTCCCAAATTAATAACATAACTTCGAGAATTAAACATTATGGAAGCAATAAACTATTGAGTATTGAGTCATCATCATCATCATCATTTCAGCCACAGGACGTCCACTGCTGAACATAGGCCTCCCCCAATGACTTCCACATCGCACGGTTGGTAGCGGCCTGCATCCAGTGCCTTCCTGCTACCTTTATCATGTCGTCGATCCACCTTGTGGGTGTGTGGAGTATTGAGTAATAATCTAACTCTATGTTTTTCTTTCAAGTGCTGCTCTCCCTCGCGTCACAACGGGCAGAGTACCTGGTCCTGGAATGGTCCGGGATCCGCTGGCTCCAAGAACTGGTGGAGCATTGGAAGGAGCACGAGCGAGGGTCTCTACCGGGGCTCATCGAGTTCACCGTCATCATCTACATAGCAAGTAATTTGGACTTGTTAGCATGCTTCTTGCGTAGGCTTCTGTAGTTACATCAAGTGTTCTTAGGAATGGTCCACAGGCTACAACAGCTTTTGGTACCGTTCATCGTCATCATCTATGGGTATAAAAAGTACTAAGGTTGGTATTTGTTCATGTTATTTACGTATCCATAGTCTCGAGGAAAGTTACTTATAAATATCATCTTCAACCCTATGAAACGCTGCAACATGAGATGGAGCGCATGAAGAATATTTTCTAGATCGGAATTTGGATCGGACACAATAATCATAATC